ACGTTTGTATTCAGACTATTATTTCCAGCTCCAGCTTGATTCAGACTTACATCCAAACAGGTCTACTTTTTTAATTAATAGCTGAAATTTAAGAAATTTCAGTCCTTTATGAGCTGAATGTTGATGCCAAACATAGCCTTATTTCTCCTCTTTTGTAATAAAATAATCAAATGAAATACAGCAAGGCATTTGATTGTCTTAATACCATAAAACTGGTACTCCGTATATTTTTACTTACAACTCCATTTATTTATCATCATACTCCCTCCGTCCCTTATAACTTTGTCAACTTTCCGTTTTTGGATGTTCACTAACTTTGCCACTTTCCATTTTAAGTAGAGAATTTGTGATTCCAGTTCATTCTCTCTCCTCTGCACAAACTTCAACCACACAGTTTTTACTTTATTTTTTTCCGTGTCGGTCAAACTTGGTAAAGTTATTAGGTACGGAGGGAGTATTAATTAATTTTTTTAATTAATTAAATTTATTAGTTTGTGAAAAAACAATGTTTAAAATAATTATCACTTGTGTTAATACGTTTTTATTTTTTTAAAATTATAAAAACGGTTAAACTAGTGGTACTGACTATATTAATAAAAAAAATAATTGATGTCCTTAAAAGTCATTTAACAAGTTATCAGCTAATTATAAACAACCATTTAACCAAACACTATTTTCCAAACGGTTAATTCTATCAGCTAATCAAAGCAGCCAACTGAATCTGCTGCCATCAATCAGCTAACATAATCAGCCAACAGCTAATAGCTAACACCCAATTACCAAACACTCCAATAACTGTATAGTCGATAGGAGTCAGTTTTTATTTTAATTTCACCACGACTGAGTTGCGTACACGATTTATTAGACGATTTAATTTGGACGCATTACATGATTTGTCATTTTTAAAAGAAAATATTGCCTCTGTCGCATAACGCTTTTCCAAATTTATGCCTAAGTCACATAATGCTTTTCCAAATTTTCTTTTTAGTTGTCCCAAAAAATATTGTTATTTCCATTTAAAGTACTTGCTTCATTGAGTGTACTCTTCTCACTTGCTTGTGTTGGATGTTCTAGATAAAGATTCTCATTTCAATTGTAGAAAATAATTTGCACTCTTAAATAAAAACTTAATCATCAAATATAAAAAATAATATATATATATATATAGATATATATATATATATATAACATCACAATTTTATATCATCAAATATAACCTCATTATATTGTATACTCATCAAAACTACTTTTCAACATATACTCGAATAACCGTATTTAACTATTGTCTAAATAAATGTGTAATTTTTAATGAGAAGCTAAAATCGGAATGGAGTAATAAATACTTATTCAGTCCATTATAACTTTGTCAATTTTCTTTTTTTTTTGTCCCCCTTTTTCCATTTTAACTAAAGATTTTGTGGTTCATATTAATTCTCTCACATCTGTCCAAATACATATATATTATATGAAATTGGCAATTCTATCTTGAAAATATAATTCAAGTATATATTGTTTTATATAATTAAAGGAAGTTATAACATAACACTGAAAATAACTGAATTGACTGAACTGAAGTGATATAAAAAAACGTTTGGTAATAGTGAAATTAGCCGAATTACCCGAATATGCTGAAATTGATGAATTTCAAATTATATTGGCTGAATATCTTGAATTGTGAAAAAATTAAATTTAAAATGTATTTTATTAGAGAAACAAAGATAAAATTATGAAAGAATTATAAAATTATGACTAAAATAAAGAGTGTACATATATATAATATGACATCTTAAGTGCAGTGACTATAGTAGTCATTTAGTCGTAAAAACTTATGTTCAAGTTTTACACTTAAGTGACTGTGACATTACACTTACAGTAGCTTTAATCATATTTGATGGATAGTCTACCCGGAGGTATGTATCCGAAGGGTTATTGCGGGGAATAACTAGAGAGAAGTCAGAACATAAGTAAGAGAGAGAGTATATTGCTGAGAAAGTAGTGAGCGTATTTAGCCTGGATTATAAATGGGGAAAAGGGGCGCTATTTATAGCAGTAATAAATGTCAGATAGGGACACGTGTCAAGCATCCAGTGGCCGAGGAGTCACATCAACTGGTTGGCGCTGGCAGTCGCATGTGGCCGCATTTAATGCGGTTGTTGGATGTGACGTCGTACTTGGTACGGTGATTCAGGCGCATGTGGAGAGGATATTCTGTCGAGAAAGGAGCCCTCGGCTGCAGATGATTAGCTGAGGGCCCTAAGTACCTGGGGCCTCCTTAGTGCCGAGGGCTCTGGGTACCGAGGGCTACTGATTTTCGCCGTTTTCTCCTAGTAACTTCGTTTGCTTGAGTTGGCCATCCTGTGAGAATTTGGAGCATTCGACCAGGGGGCCGAAGGCACCCCCAGTGTACCACGTGGGTTGCTCAATACTTGGGGCGCTGTGATTTGGGCCTGTCGTGCTTCCTGGGCCTATTGGGCCTCCCTTAGAATAGTAGGAGTCTATGAGTCGGGGGTTCCTGGGCCATATACTCCATCAATATTACTGTAAATAGGTCTTATTTTAGTACTCCCTCCGTACCACTTTAGTTGTCCCATTTATTTTTCACGGAGTTTAGGATAATTATTGTAGACTATAAAAAGTAAGAAATTTTTGGTAATGTAACGGTAATGTAGCTGCTATTTGAGTGAGTTTCTTTACAAAAAGAAAAATGAAACAATTAATTTGATACATCAAAAAAGGAAAGTGAGACAACTAAAGTGATACAGAGGGAATAATATTTTCCAAAAAACTCTAAAATTGTATGAAAGTGTAGCTAAAATAGTTATCTTCAGCAATTCTAGCCAAAATCGGCTGAATCGGCCAGAAAAGTAACTCTAGAGCCCGTTAGGTAATACCAAAATTGTCTGATTCTGCTGAAACTTGAAGTTCTGACTAAAGCGGTTGGATTAACTGATTTTGCTTATTTATGTAAAAATTATATTTGAAATATATTTTAACAATAAAATAAAATAAACTTATATGAAAAAATAGCTAAATTATCCTATCCAGTAACTTCAACAAATACAACCACAAATGTAACTATAATCTGGTTTTTTCTTATTATTACATAATTCCGCGTGCGAAATCATAAATTACGTATTTGGTAAAAAAATTGGCTGGTGAGCTTGATATGCCAAAAAACATGGTTGCAAACGGGCTTCTAATCTTACTTATTTTGATTATTACATAATACAATTCGCAAAATAAAAATTATGTGTTTGATATAGAAATTGGCAGATAAGGTTGATAATATAGAGGTTAATTACCAATAAGCTTTTTATTTATGTATTATTTGGTATGAAAGGAAGAAGATATAGAAACGAACAAAAATTACATGATTAAGAGACTATTTGGTGACTATTTCTCGACTTATCAGTCTTCTCAGCCAACTTTAATTTTTCACCAAACATTTAACTTTGAAATTCTTTCGGTGAATTATGTAATAATAAAAATAAGTAAGGTTGAAGTTTTTTCTGACTAAATGAGTTGAGGTTACTGTAGAGGACCATTTTAGCTATTTTCGTATAATTTTTTCATTATTTTTTTATTGTATTTTAAAATTAATTTTTCATAAATTATCATAATGAGTCAATCTATTCACTTCAACCCCTTTCATAAATTTCAGTAGAACCTACCGACTCAATAAATTTCAGGGTTATCAAAAGAATTCTAAGAGGAGATTATAGGAAAAATTTAATAAGTGAGTAAAGTTTTAGACCCATATGGTTAGTCTTGTATAATATGCATGCATATCATTGATTGTTTTTCTTTTTTGAAAGCTCTTATTTTTTATTAAAGAATTAAAAGTATTGTACGGAGTATGAATTAATATTACTCTGTGGTACTTTAGTAGTATTCGGTGGTTTTTTTGGGTTGTAGTACTCGGTGATTAATTAAAGAGTCCAACAATTATGGCAATTAATTAGCATGTTAGTTGCTATTGAATAGTCCCAAAACAAATGAGTTACGTTGTATTAATTGATTAATTAAATGTTATAAAAGTTTTGTTAAATAATATATTTGTTAACGAATTAGAGAATGACACGTAAGCATTTTATTACTCAGTTTTACTATATAACACAATAGATTGTATGAGCTTCATATTTGTGGGCAAGCTGTCGAAGTGAAAAGTCCTCAAAGCACATCATCTGGCATCAACATATGGTACAAAATGCCCAAAAGCTATCGTATTTAGTGAAAAAATTGTTCAAAAAATTTATAAGTTGAAAAACAGGGTATCAAACGAGTAGACCTGGACAAAACCGGGCTGGTCCGCCCGCACAAATGGGCGGGCTTGGGCATATATATTTACCAACCGGGCCGGTCCAAGCCCGGCTCGCAATAAGATATGGGCGGGCTTGGGTTAGGGTGTAGGCCCGTTCGGGCCGATAAGCCCAGCCCGCTACTTTTAGTATATATAAATATATATATTTATATATACTAATTTATTTATTTATTTGCATATACACATGTATATTTATATTTACTAATTTTCTTTATACATATTTATAGTTTATTATGTTTAAATTTAAATTTTTAGTTCTTAACAACTAGCCCAACCAATATAATATCTATTTTTGTACTTAAAGATAATACTTTATGCTTAAATTTTAAATTTTAGATATAGTTTCTCATTATTATTTTTGTGTAAGTATTTTTTTTTGTATGTGGTGAAAGACGTATAAACATTATAAGCGTATTAATTATTTTCTAAATGTTGTAATATTATTTTTAAAGTATTTAAAAAATCATATAATTTTGAAAAAATTAAAGTATTCCCGGGCCAGACGGCCCGATGAACTACCCGACCCGCTCTTATGGGCGGGTATGGACATAGGGTTAGGCCCGTTTTTGCGCATCAGGTCGGGCCCGCCCACACATGATGGACAGAAAATTTATAAAAAGCCCCGACTGAACCCGTTTTTGTACACGTCTACAAACTAGCTATGTTTATAGTAGGCTCAGTCCAACTCCCTGTCGAATATCGCACCAAGCCACCGACCATTTTGAGCATAACTTTTTTAGCGTAACTCTCTCTCGCAACGATAGCGTTTGGTCCGTCAGCTTTCTTTTGATTGCTTATCAAATTGAGTCATCTCTTCCAATTCAAAAAGCTGAAAGGGGGTTAAGTCGGGGCCCCGAATTGTGACCATAGGTTTTCGAGGATCCCAATTCAGAACGGGTAATCCTTCTCAGACGTTTTGTTTTTCGCTATCCATTATTAGTTTTCGATTGTTTATCTGTAAAATATAGTATCCAAGTACACGAGATTATGTGGGGTTTGGCGGCTTTTGTTTTGTAGAACTAAAAAGTTATTTATTTAAATTTAGTAATTGACCAGGTGTTAAGCTAATAAATCATGCATATTTTGTGATCGAATCAACCCGGGTTCTTACTTCTTAGGCAACTGTTTTGTACTCGTCTGCTGCTGAAAGTTTTGAACCAGTGTTGAGTTATTCAGTTTTTCAACACAGTTTAGTATGGGGCTTTGATTGTCTTCTTTCCCTTGTTTGAAATAACTGTATTGCAGACAGAATAAATTGCATTAAAGGATGCAATCAAATGTTTTTTAAAATGTTTGCGTGGAAGAAGATTGTGATATGATCAGTTGATCACACTTACTTGCCAAAATTTTCTTACTGTTAGCACGTCTTTCTGTACATGCTTTTATGATCAGTTGTGGCATGCTTTTTATGCGGGGAAAATCTTCTTTTCTTCCAATTGAAATAATTCACTATGCTTGGTGTATATAGTAGAATATTGAAATCTTAATAGAAGCAGTTCTTGAGAAATCATATATGGATTATGCTACTACTGGTCATAGGATTCTTGGAGCCTTCAAGTGAAAACACAGTTAGGTGCTCTGTTGGAATCTACTACTTCTCTATCCGTAGTCTGTCAAATGGAGGTGCAAGAAGAGCATGGAAGTGAATTATCTCAACGTCCCAGGTTAGATTTCCCTGAAAATGAGAGCTCCACGAGTCAAGAAATTGACAAAACAGAAACCTTTGTCGGTGATAAATCTCTTCAGGACACTGAGGAAAAGTGTGGGAAGAATTCCATTTCTGGTACTGAAGAACATAAGCTCAAAGAGTGTGGTTCTGCAAGGGATTCTTATGCACAGTCATATAGCACCACAGAAAAAGATGGCCCAAACAAATTTGCTCGAAAACAACAAAAGTACTTCTCTTACGATGCACCACTTTATGGCGAGACCGGGATTTGGATACCTGTTTCTGTTCCTCCGATGTCAGAAAGTGACCATGAAGATTGGACTAGAGGTTTTTTCTCAAAAGGGGAATACTTTCCTGAAGAAGAAATAGGCTCCATTCAGTGCTTTGGGGAAGATAAAGAGTTAACCATGTGGGATGTCCTGGTGGAAATGTTGTTGGTGGCTAGGGGTAAAGTGGGTGCTTTATCGTCGGGTGATATTCATAACATTTCATGCATCTCAGGCCACCTTGTGGAGCAAGCTTGGAAGGAGATGGCTCAAACTCTCACAGAGGCTAATTTTGGTGCTGCCAGAGAACTTCTTGAGGCAGAACCTCCCAAATGGCTGCCTGATAGTGCAGCTTCTTCCTGTATGCTGTGTAGTGTCCGGTTTCACCCCATAATGTGTAGCAGGCATCACTGTCGCTTTTGTGGAGGAATATTTTGCAGCGATTGTAGCAAAGGAAGGAGCTTGTTGCCAGAAAAGTTTCGCACAGAAGAACCACAGAGAGTATGTGATGTGTGTTCCATACGTATTGAGTCTGTTCAGGCATACTTGATGGACAGAGTTAGCCGTGCTGCACAGTTGCCAACACATGATCTGACAGATCTCAGTACTTTGAGATCATGGATAAATTTTCCATGGGGACAGTCGATGGAGTATGAGATTTACAAGGCTACCAACATACTTCGGAGTTATAATAAGGTATGGACTTCAGATATAGATTCAGTTTTATTCTGAACAAAATTGCATCTATCATAGTTGTCATGGCGCATGGCGCAACCCATGGCGCACAGGCCATTTTCCATGGCGATGGCGATGGCGTAAATATGGCGTCGCCATGTGACAAAAAAATAAATAAAACCTTCAAACGAATAATAGATACTGCAAAACTATCATAGAAACAAAACTATCATATATATGTATGTATGTATTTAGATACATATTTATATATATATATATATATATATATGTGTGTAGATATATATTTAAACTTAAAAATTTTCAAATATTAATCATAATGTCATTTTTCAATAGTATAAAATAATCCGCAAAACAAAAAATACAAATATAGAAAAAGGATTGAAAAAATCAGCTTGTAAATAAAAATCTTAAGTCCTAGAAGATGTAATGGAGAGATGTAACGGAGAAAGGAAAAAAACGTTTTCTAAGAAGAACAAAACAAGCGTTAAAGAATACGAATGAAGAAGGCCACACTGCGACACTGAAGAAGGCGTCGCCTTGGGGAGTTGGATCTTCGCAGGTCATTATTTTTTTTAAAACTTGAGTCGCTTCTTTCAGTCTACGTCATTTCCGATTTCCGACCATAGCCTCGTTTCGGAATTCCGACTCTGTGCGTCGTATTCTTTCCCTACAGACACGAACGACGCAGATCGAAGGAGATCGACGATTCCACGATCTAACGAGTGGACTCGTCGATCCGGCGATCTGGCTGCAATTTCCGATCCAAGCTGCGATTTTGACAACCTTGCGCGGACCCATTTTGTCAAAAAAACATGCGCATCGCCATGGCGAAGGCGCAGGAATGGCGAAGGCGCAGGAATGGCGACGCCATGTGTATACACCTCGCCACAGCCCCTTTTCATAGCGCAGAGGGTTTTTCGCGCCACATGGCGCATGGCGCGCGCGCCATATTGCGCCATCGACTACTATGCCATCTATTAAATGAATTATGTTTAATTTATTAGCTTTCTCAACTTATCTGCATCTCATGACCTTTTTCATGTGAGTGGAAAAACTATATGATGTTGATGGTTTTGAAATGTCATTTCATTGTTCCTTCTTTAGATGGTTGTAACGAGAAGCGCATCTGGTGTAAAATATTGCTTCTATGCTTTTATGCATGAATTCAGAAGAGAATATAGCTCATTTTAGACTCTATTTATAGACTATAAATTTTATATCGCAGACCATGACTGCGTACATCCGACCCCCCCCTTACCCTACCGTAGGTGGGAGCCTTTGCAGCACTGGGGTAATGATGATGATGAGACGATCATTTAACTGGGATTGAAGTTATGATTGATGAAGATGTTCTATGTTACTAACTTGAGAACCTTTGTGCAGATGGGGGGCTCCCTTAAGTTTGTTAATTTTTTCTCATGTGTAAAATTTTGTGTACAAATTTATACGAATAATTTATTTTTCCAGCTCACTCCGAATTTATACTAAAAGCAAAGTGGCTCACTAAACTGTCTGCGCTTCTTTGGTATGAAGTAACAGTCCGTCTATGCAATTTTCGACGCGATTTTCACTTGGGTCATTCGGAAACAGTCTCTTTGTGCTTTTAGTACAGGGGTAAGACTGCGTACATCCGACCCCCCCTTACCCCACTGTAGGTGGGAGCCTTTGCGGCACTGGGGTAATGATGATGATGATGACTCCAAATTTAAAAATTTTGTGATCCTGATTACGCCACTTCTTGAGAATATATGTTCTGATCACATATTTTGGAATACCAGTGATTACTCAGATGGTGAATCTTGTAGGATCCTCTTACAGTGTAAAGCTACAATTGAAAAAACATTTTGCTTGGTAGTTTGAGAAGTCTAGATACATATTGCATTCAAGCATCTCTTTACTGCTTTCCGAACCATGTGATTCTGAATAAAAACATGTTCCTGATTAAATTGACACCTGTTGGTAATATGCGAACTCATTCTGATTGGTCGAACTTTCAGGTCGGTTCTTTGAGGCATGAAAGGAGAATTCCAGAATCTATTCTTCAAGGTGCTCAAGGCCTTGCAATACTCACAGTAGCAAAAGTCGGAGCTGTGGTTACTTACAACATTGGAACTGGACTGGTAGTTGCTCGCAGAGAAGATGGCTCATGGTCTCCTCCTTCAGCCATTTCTTCTTTCGGTGTGGGATGGGGTGCTCAGGTGAAGTAATATTTAATAACTCTTGCTTTTGTTCTGACTCATTTTATGTTACTTATAGCTCATGCTTCCTGCCAATTTTTCATGCTGGTATTAGTTCTTAAGAATCTTAACATCTTTTCAGTTGACATCTCAGTGATATGTCTTGGAAATCACTATTGAATTGACTTCTCAGCGCACAGGTCCATTTTACTTGAGTTATCTGGTTTCCAATTTCAGATCATCCTCGCAGTTGAAACCCCATTTTATCGTTCCCAAAATGGGACCCAAGTGCCAATTAGGTGACACATCAATACATCATTTAAATCAAAACACAACTCTCCTTCTCTTTCATGGAACCCTTTAAAACCATCAACTCACTCTTAGAGATCCCACATTTTATCTCCTTGGATCGTTTGGGAAAAGTGTGAGATAGCATTTAATTCTGGAATGTGAACTCCTAATTTGGGTGTATTTCGTTTAGCAGTTTTTCTTTCTCAATCCTTTGATAATAGTATCTTGAATCTCAACCTTTCACTGCAGAGTTTAACTGTGCTCTCTATGTATGCATTCTGCAGGTTGGTGGAGAACTGATTGACTTCATAATTGTTCTGCGAAATAGAGATGCTGTGAAGACTTTCAGTGGTGAGGCACACCTTTCAATTGGAGCAGGATTGAGTGCAGCTGCAGGTGCCATAGGACGAACTGCTGAAGCTGATTTACATGCTGGCAGTGGGGGCTATTCTGCCTGCTATACATATAGCTGCAGTAAAGGTGTGTGTTTATCTCAGTATTTATGACATTACATAATTAATAAATAGTTAAATACTCATTTTTCAATAGATATTCTTTTGTTTTTACACAGTTTTTAAGAACAAATTGATACTGGTAATTTAAACATGGAAAGGAAGGGGGAATAGGAATTTGCATGGTTTTTTGACTGTCAAGTAATTAATTATGCAAAAGGAGGAGAGAGAAGGTTGTTTACAAAAAATAAATGTGAGCAAACGTGTAAACAACTACTTGATTATATCCATCAACGAAAAAGCGGAACATCTAGTAGAAGACAGAGGGAGGATTGTATGTTTTTTTTTCCAGTTTGTACCCCCCTTAAAATGAAGGTGTGATTTGGTTAGATTGTGTGGTTGTTTATACTTTATACTCTTGTTATTATAATTATTATTTTTATTAGTTAGTAGTAGCTTTCTATTTGGTATCATGCCTGTCCCAAACCAGGATAAAGGAGGAGGGTGCTGTGGTAGGCGCGTGACGGCCAACAGTATCACTTAGTCACATCACATGACATGAATCGAAATATGAATATCGCTACAGCTAGGTCGTCGCCCGTAAGCGACGCGTCATCCCTCCGCCTGGGGGTGGTGTCAAATGAGCAAGGGCGCGCTACACTTCATAGGCCTGTGTGTGGTGATAAGAATGCTAAGGCTGTTAGGTCGTCGCTCGGAATCGATGCGCCACTCCAATGCCCGGGGATGATGTCAAATATGCAAGGGCATGGTGGGGGTCGATGTGGGGTGAAGAAGAGAAGGCAGGGTGTTAGATTGCGCTTTGGGACATGTAATGTTGCCTCTCTTACGGGAAGATCATCTGAGATAGCCGAGGTTATGAAGAGGAGGAATATCAGCATAATGTGCATGCAAGAAACTAAGTGGGTTGGAGAAAAGGCACGCGAGATTAATCCCGGAGGTTTTAAGCTTTGGTACTCGGGGGGAGAGAGGAACAGAAATGGAGTAGGCATTATGGTGGCACATGATTATGTTGACGGTGTGGTTGAAGTGTTTAGGAAGAACGATCGCATCATGAGCATTAAGTTGATAATAGGGGATGAGATCGTGTCCGTGGTTAGTGTCTATGCACCACAAGTGGGATTGGATGCATCTATCACTCAACAATTTTGGGAGGATTTTGAGGAAGTGGTGCGACGAGTGCCAAGGAGAGAGAAACTGGTCATAGGAGGCGACCTCAACGGGCATGTGGGCCCAAGTCGTGATGGTTTTGAGAGTGTCCATGGCGGACATGGTTTTGGCACTATAAATGAAGCGGGGAAGAACATTCTGGATTTTGCCTCGACATATGAGTTGGCTGTGATGAACACTTAGTTCAAGAAAAGAGACTCTCACCTTGTCACCTATAGAAGTGGAGCTAATAGTACCCAAATTGACTACTTTTTAGTACGGACGACTTGGAGAACTAGCTACACTGATTGTAAGGTTATCCCAGGTGAGAGTGCTGTCACTCAGCATAGGATGTTTGTGCTTGATTTTCGAGGTTAAAAGAGTGGACGAGTTAAGGTACAAGGGGAGCCATAGATAAAATGGTGGAGGCTCGAGGGGAATCTCCAACAAAGTTTTGCACACAAAATGTTGGAGGAAGATGTTTGGTTTATTGATAATGACGCACACGTGGATGATGTGTGGTTATCAATGGAGTCCAGCATTAACAAAGTGGCGAAGGAGATACTCGAAGAATCTAAAGGATGCCTGCCACAAAAAAGACACATCTTGGTGGAATGATGAGGTGAAACAAGCAATAAGGGCCAAAAGAGAATGCTATAAGAAATTGGGCAAAAGTTGGAGCGACGAGAACATAGAGGAGTACAAAGAGGCTAGAAGAAGAGCGAAGAAAGCTGTGAAGGAAGCCAAAGGAAAAGTGAATAAGGAATTGTATGTAAAGTTGGATTCTTAGGAAGGAGAAAAAGATATCTACAGACTTGCTCGCCTTCGTGACCGTAGGACTCAAGATATCTGAAAAGTTAAGTGTGTGAAGGATGTCGATCAAAGGGTACTAATGGACGACGAAGAATAAAAGAGAGGTGGAGGTCATACTTTGATACCTTGTTCAACAGGAATAAAGTCCAAGGTATTGATGATCTTACTATACCAGAGTGTATGGTAAATAGGGACTTCGTGAGAAGGATTCAAACAACAGAAGTTAAAGAGGCTATGAGAAAAATGGGTCGGAAGAAAGTAGGGGGCCCAGATGGCATACCGATCGTGGCTTGGAGAAGTTTGGAAGAGAAAGGCATCGAGTGGCTAACACGTTTCTTCAACATGATTTGGAGAAACAACAAAATGCAAGTGAGTTGGTGGAAGAGTACTCTCATTCCCTTATTTAAAAATAAGGGTGATGTACAAGAATGTGCTAACTATCGAGGGATTAAGCTTATGAGTCACACCATGAAACTTTGGGAGCGAGTGATTGAGCAAAGACTACGTAAAAGTGTGAAAATTTCGGAGAATCAATTTGGTTTTATGCCTGGACGCTCAACAACAGAGGTCATTCACCTTCTTAGACAAGTTGTGGAGAGGTATAGAGACACTAAAAAGGATCTGCATTTGGTGTTCATTGACTTAGAAAAGGCATATGATAGGGTACCTCGAGAAGTTCGTTGGTGGGCCTTAACTAGAAAAGGCATATCACGTAAGTATATCAGCATCATCATGGATATGTATGATGCTTGTACTACAAGTGTCCGCACTAGTGTAGGGAGGACCGCAGAGTTCCCTATTACTATTGGAGTGCACCAAGGATCTGCTCTGAGTCCTTTCTTATTTGCTTTATTCATGGATGAACTTACGAAGTCAATTCAAGAAGATATACCGTGGTGCATGATGTTTCCCGACGATATTGTATTGATTGATGAGACACAATCCGGTGTTAAAGCAAAGTTGGAAGTATGGCGACAAACATTGGAGAGCAAGGGTTTCAAACTGAGCCAAAGCAAGACTGAGTATATGGAGTGCAAGTTCGGTGGAGGTAGAAGCAGTAGCAACAGTGGGATTACTCTTGATGGTAAGGAGATACCGGTGTGTGATATGTTCCGTTACTTGGGATCCATAATTCAGAAGGATGGTGAGTTAGATGGAGATGTATGTCATAGAATCAGAGCTGGGTGGATGAAATGGAAAAGTGCTTCAGGATTTCTATGCGATCGAGGTATGCCGACTAAACTGAAAGGTAAATTTTATCGTACAACAATTAGGCCGACATTAATGTATGGCGTAGAGTGTTGGGCGGTGAAGCAATGTCACATTCAAAAGATGAGTGTGACAGAGATGCGTATGTTGCGTTGGATGTGTGGACATACCAGAAAAGATCGCCTGCGGAATGAGGTAATCAGACAAAAGGTGGGAGTAGCACCTATAGAAGATAAGATGCAGGAGTCTCGTTTACGGTGGTTTGGGCATGTGCATAGAAGACCGAGTGATGCACCTGTTAGTCGACTTGAGGGGTGGGGAGAAGAGTCAGAGAAGAGAGGGAGGGGAAGACCCAAACAGACTTGGATTAGAGTAATTAGAACTGATATGTGTCTTCTTGGGTTGGATGAGAGTATGTCTTTGGAGAGAGCAAAGTGGAGTGCACACATCCATGTGGACGATTGATGTCTTGTCTACCTTTCCTCTTTTGTTTCTTTTATCGTTTATCTTCCTTATCTTTTTATATTCTTATGTTATTTTTATCTTCTAACTTTTTTATGCTCTTTTATTTATTTTTCTTTTATCTTGGTTATATTCTTGTGTTATTGTTATCTTATATTTATGTATCTTTATTTTATTCATTTTATCTTACTTTTTTTTCCTTTTCTTGTCCGCCTTCTCTTTTTGGCATCGATATCATAGATCGATTCATGTTAGCCGACCCCAAATTCTTTTGGGAATAAGGCTCGGATGTTGTTGTTGTAGTAGTAGCTTTCTATTAGTATAGGTATTCAATTTTAGTTAATATTCATAATAATAGTATTGTAATAGGATTAGTGTTATCTAACACCGGTCCACTATGGCTCTCGGAACTAGTAAAATAGAGGTGCTCTATTCATTATAATATCATCATTTTTTTTGTATTCCTTGGAGTCTTGACAAGGTCAGAAGCCACCTTCTCTTTCCTAGAGTGGAGAAGTTCCTCATCTTTATTGAATTACTTCTTCTTTTTTTCATCTAGATATTACATCCCCCAAAATGTATATGCAATGTACTTGCAATAAAACATACTTGTATATGATTACATTATCTTATACGGAGTATGTTACACCTAAATGCGTGACTATGGATGCACTCATTCACCATACACCAAAGGGGGTTGGATATTTATGATTTATGCTGTATAAAATTAGAAGTGAATTGGATTTGAATTGAGAACCAAGTTACGGATCTCTAGTAGTAATTTCTTGGTCCTTTAGGATTATTGTGAGTAATAGAATACCAAATATTAGTGTAGTTGGTATTCTGGTGTAGTTAAAAGTTTAAAACTCCTAGTTTGAATATGGTCTGAATACCACCTCAATCCCACCTTATGTTTCTGGGCTACATATGTTTAGACGTTTGGTTGATGTTAATGTCAACACTTTCTAAGTTTCTTTATAACATTTGAATTAATATTAATAGTTTTAAAAAATTATGTGTAGAGACTGCCGTGAGTTTTCTGAAACCACAAAAATTGATTTTGAATCTCGTAACTCTTTTCCTTTAGGTTCTGTGAAGGACGAGTCTGCCATATCACAACCTTGCTCATTATTATATCTGTAATATTGCAGGTGCATTTGTGGGACTTTCCCTAGAAGGGAGTGTTTTCGCAACCCGTTGCCGAGAAAACTCAAGATTTTACGGTAGTCAGTCAATAACGGCTGTCGATATCCTTCTTGGATCCTGGCCCAGACCACCTGCTGCAGCCACCCTTTACCGGTCACTGTCAGATCTATACCAGAAGCTCTCAGGTGTGCAGCACTGCACCTGATCGCTATTCTTCTTCGAATGTCATTAGTTTGTGTATATACAAAATTACAAATGGGTTCTTTAATTTATTAGAAATCATGTAAATTGGCGGCTACTCAGATGTGTACATTATTTACCAGAAGGGCTCACCATGACAACTTGAATGGGTAGTCTACTGATTATCGAAAACAACTACTATTGCTTATCTGTACAAATGGGGTGTATATAAAACATCTAGTTGACATGTCTCATGGTTATCTTACTAATATTTTTTAATCCTACAAAAATTCATGATAACAGAATAAGGAAAAACTCACATGATCGGATGATCCCAACTATTGGCGCTTTTTTTCATATTAATCTCAAATATTAGTAATTCTAATATAATCTAAATTACTAGAGGTATTTTCTCAAAACAAACCGGTGATATGCATAAACCAATTCAGCAGGTCACCTTGACCTCACCAGCAAAATATACCGTACACCCGGTTGTACGGTCCTCACCGTACAACCAGGTATTTTTGCAATTATTCACAACTGAGATGACATTTACTCCTCCGTTTTGCATCTGTTTTTCCAGCCCCAACCCTGGCATTACATCTTCGAATTGATCCGATCTAGTTTATTTTTTGAGAATCTTATTCATTAAGTCTAGTTTACTCATACCAAATTTCAACTAAAACTTCAATCGGGAAGACATTCAAATAAATTCTTGAAGATAACTGCGTAGTTAAAAGCGCAGTTATCTTCAAGAATTTATTTGAATGCCTTCCCGATTGAATTGTTATCGAAATTTGGTATGAGTAACTGGACTTAATGAATAAGATTCTCAAAAAAATTCATCAAAAAATTCCACCGGGAACTGCCCCAAATGGCAACGGCTGGACAGAGCCTCCTATATAAGGACTTATTTGACCTTTTTTGGTTAGTATGTGGGCTTATTTGCTCCTTTTTCCTAATTATAATTCATTCAAAAACCTTCTCCTTTCAATTTTATTACTCCCAAATACAAAGAAGGGTTTCCTCACTCTCCTTTCCCTTTCACCTCCAACAACATACCTCCAAAGCCTTCCTCTCCCCTTCCCTCCAAACTCCCAAACAAAGAAGGGTGTGTCTAGGAGTTTGATGAAGGTGAGGGAAGGGGAAGGCTTTGAAGGGGAGTAGAGGGAAGGGAATGAGAGGGAGATGGGAAGGGATTCCCTCCTCTTGTTTGGGAGTTACAAATTTCACAAGAGGAAAGTTTTGGAGGACATATAATTAAAATGAGACATGTACCCCTTTCTCATTGTATAAACATTATAGTACATTGGATGTTATATTTTTTATTGTTTAGATTACTAGTTATTTGATATTTTTCTTGAAAAATTGCTTCAATATTTACATATATAAATCATAAAGAGCATGGTTGGTAATACCAATTTCGAAATAAAAATTTTATGAAAATAACAAAATTGGTTTATTATTATACAATTCAGAGCACAAAATAAAAAATTATGTATTTAATGAAAAAAATGACTAGTAAGCTGATAAGTAAAAACACATAGTTAGAAAGCGAACTCATATTTTTGTTAAAACATCATAATTTTTATTTAAATAATAACAAAATTTAAATTCACATTTCAATTTCACATCAGCAAACAAAAAAATAGTTTTTGAAAAAAAATTGTTTAATAATTAAAATAATTGAAGTGTAAACTATCTAAGAACTTACTATATACACATACTTTTGACAAAAAATTAAAGCGAAATGAAAAAATGAAAATATAAAAGAAGACAATTAACTTCAACAATCATAGGACAATACTATCTCAACGTATTATGTTTCACATTTTATTTCAAGTACTAGCAATTATATTTATCTAGCGCATTCCAATCAATAACATAAAAAAGTCAATGAGCTCCAAATAAGCTTCACTTTCACTCATTTGTCTTTACTGATATGGCCTGCAACCAATAAGAAAAATTGGTTAATGTAATATCCAAAACTTGCAAGTAATAATTAAATAAACAAAATACATTTATCATCACTTTTACCATCATAATCGAAATAATAATTTTAATAACTTAACAACAAACAAAAATCTTACACTCTCAAGCACCTTTGTCAAAGAATGACATCATTACATTCATCATCATGACCAAATAAACTATCATTTTTAAAAGCTAACACAAAACAAAAAATTTACAATCTCAAACATCTTCATCAAAGGAACCGCGTATATAAAATTATTGATAAGATAAACTGCCGAAAAACATCAATATCAATTAATTGTATACTAAAATATAAACTAAAGTACTTAAAAACGTAATAAGATAACCTGATAGTAGATGTCGGCGGACCAAACACCATTTCAATAAGCAACTCCTTTTGTTTATTTTTTGGGCATCCAATGAGTCCTTTGATCGTATCAGGATTGTTGAGAAGATACTGATAGCTTTTATATTTACTTGTGTTTAACATAAGTATTTATAAGTATTTGTTGAAGAAAAGAAGAGAAATTAGGAAAATACCTTCAAAATGAGAGCTAAAGCATAAAACATTGTGATGAACAGCTTCTGTGACCAAAAGGATGATGTTCTGCCCATAATTTGAGTATAACTTATTCTAGAGAACTCGAAATCACTCTATTCGAATTTCATGTTAATTAATGGTAACTCAATAAGGTACAAATGTTATGAAGACGACATGGCCAGAAAAGGAAATGAACAATACTCAATCAACCGATAAAGTCAGATGTTGCTGGTGGGATTTTAGAATGCATACCTCTCAGTGTTGTATCCATATCTTTTGATTGGATGAATAAAATCTCGTTATTCATGTTCTGGTGGATAGACGACTTCATTATCTACAACTTTGGTGAAGGAATCATGTCCAAATTCGTAGCGGAACATCCCCAAAATCCCAGGACAACACTAGTGCCGGAATTTCACCTAACCGGCGCCGGTCTGTTTATTTTCAACACAAGACCGCTTGGCAGTAGCTTACCCGGCGCCGGGTAGGCCTGAAACCGGCACCGGGTTGGTCTGATTCTGCACAAAACACAACATCGTGCAAGCTGATTCTTGATGGAAAAATTCAATCTTCCTCAATGCTAATCAAATATTGCTTCCATACCTGATTGTTGGATTCGAATAGACTAAAAGATGTCATTCTTTAGTCTATATAAAGCCCTCAATTCATCAAACAAATACATTTCATTCCATAGATTAATTCCTAGTTTTTTATATTTTATTCTTGCTATTGTTCTTCAAGTTTTTGAGAAGAAGCCCTTTTTTCTCCTCTACAATTGGTTCTAGGTAATTTTTCTTGTATGTTATAATATTTCCTTGTTCTTAGTTACACTTTTGTAATTAACATGAGCTCAAGAAGCTAAATTCTTAGCTAAGCCTAGGGATGAACTTCTATGCCCACTAGGTGTTTGATAAAAGTTCTAAACCAATAAATTGTGATTTATCCTTTATACATTGATTGTTTATGACTATGGTGTACAACATAGAAGTATGTTAAATTTAGTTTATACTTGCAATTAACGTTGAAGTCTAAACTATGAATATTAAAGGATAAACTATATGGTACCAAGAATAGAAATATATCCGGTCTTATATGATACGGATGTGATGTCTTGATATTCAACGGGGTTTTCGGTAGATGAATGTAAGCCGTAACGGGACTTACACGTAACGAAAACCACACTCTCGCTGCCTTAACCGGAGTTGAGAATATATTAGCGACATCATATTCATAATATTAGTAAAGAACTAATATTCAACCCTATTGAAGCACTTAAGTGATCCCTGATGGAGTATATGGCCCGGGAACCCCCGGCCCACAGACTCCTCCTACTCCAGCGAAGGCCCAACAGGCCCAAATCACAGCGCCTAGAGTACCAAGCAGCCCGCACTACGCGCCAGGGGTGCCTTCGGCCCCCTGGCCGAAGGCTCCAAATTCTCACAGAACAGGTTTCTCAAGCAAATTAAGAAACTGGGGGAAAACGGCGAAAACAGTAGCCCTCGGCACTGTGAGCCCTCGGCACCAGGGTGCCATCGGGTGGAAGAGCCCTCGGCTACTGCTCTATAGCCGAAGGCATCTCACTCGACAAGATATCCGCCTCACATGCGTACAGATCACCGTACCCCACACAGACGTCCCATCCAACAGCCGCATTAAATGCGGCCACATGCGGCTGCCAGCGCCAACCAGTTGAGGTGACCCCTCGGCCAATGAGCGCTTGACACGTGTCCCTGCCTGGCATTTATTGCTACTATAAATAGCACCCCCTTTCCTCATTTGTAACCACGCTGAAAACGGCATTCATACTGAATACACTCTCTCTCTACTTTTACTTACTTGCTCTGACTTCTCTCTAAGTTACTCCTCGTAATAACCCTTCGGATATATACCCCCGGGTAGACTATCCATCATTTGGTGCTCTCGTTGAGAGGTTGAACGATCGAGTAAGAAACCCTCCCCCTCGACCAAGCACAAAACACTAGCCCTCTATCAAAATGGTGAGGACAACACGTGCCAACTCAAAGAACGTAGAAGACAAGAACCTGGCCCTCGGCGACGTCAACGCCCCCGAAGCCTCTCACAGGGCTTCCGAGGGCGGTGTCATCGCTGGGCTGGAACAGGCGGCTGTCGACCTACGCCTTCAGATCCAACAAAATGCCCCCGATGCCCGCCTCGGCATCGAGGCCAAGAAGAAAAACCGGAGCGATGACCAAGTCAGCCCTCCGGTTCTCACCATCGACGTGCAATCGGCGCTCTCCGCCTTCATCCAGACGCTCACCTAGAACCCGGGTGCCTTCGGCACCCTGGCTCCAGCTCACCCTCAGATCGGGGAAAATATCATACTTCCCCTTCTGCCACACCCCTTCAGAAATCCCACCACTCGGGTGAGGAACGACGAAGGGGTGGTGGCCCAAGAAACGTCCTCCCAGGAAGTTCAGTCCCGGGACCGCCATAATGACAACAGGGAAAGGCCCCGTACTTCCGCCCTCAACCGACTCGGAGGAGGGCCAGACCGCCGAGGGGTCCAAGACCGCCTCGGGGGGAAAGCACTCCAAAGGCCCCAGGAAAGCGGGGGATCTGTTTCGAGGGCAGACGAGGAGCGTCCCCCTCGGGACAAAGGCAAGGCACCCCTTCATGCCGATGATGCTCGGCACCAAATCAACCAGGCCCACTCGGCCCGGGTTCGTTCGCAGGGGGCGGAGACCCTCCCGAAGGATCCCTGGGACGAGATCA